GATGAGGATTCCCTGGGTTGGGGGAGCTCTTGCTGCCAGACAGCTGCCAGAGGCAGCTTCCACACCAACTCTGCCACTCTGAAATAGGGCATTTGTTGAGAGCATGGGGGAAACACAGCTGCCCCCTGACAATCTCAGCTGGCATATGTGTCCAGCTCGTGTAAGTTAGAGCAACCATGTAGCTGGCACTGGAGCTGCTCTGGCTTCAGAATCAGGGAGCTGTAGCTGGGTCCCTGACACCCACTTCTCCTTCCTCTGCTCTGAACAGATCTTGGCACAGGAGAGAATCCGTCTCTGTTGACAAACAAGAAGGAATAGAATCTAACTCTTTCTCTGTTAGCTATGTTGTCGCAAGAGTGCTACCAAGAGCAAAGGGCAGTAGAACTGAATTTTGTAATGTAAGTCAACAGATATAACTCTATTCACACAAAGAGCAGCTCTACAACATTTTTACGTAGTTGCTTTTCAAACCAGACCTACACTTTAAGATCCATGCAAATTGTTGCCGGAGTGCATTAGCTGGCTTCTTTATTTCTCATGTAATTTTAGATGAGAATTACAAAAAGAGTATGACTGTATTTAATAGTAATTATTTATATTAGAAAATAGAGCACATTTTCAGGACAAATTATTTTTTAAAGATTTGTCGCTTTTTTAAGGCATACAGTACGTTACTTAGTGTGCAAGGCAGAAATTATATCTGAAGTAATGGGCCCAATTCACTAATCAGATCTGATGGAACCCATTCTGGAGGGCTCTGGCAGCAGAAAGACTTGCCTGGAGCAGAGATGCAACAGCACAAACAATCCACAGTCTCCACTGTGCTGTGGGACCTGGCTGTTGAAGGTCACAACGTGGGTGGGTCTGCCTGGGAAGGGGACAGGGACAGGTCACGTGGGAGACGCACTGATTCAGCACTTCCACTCCCTCCTTTTTCCCCAGAGATGAATTCCCCCTACAGACCCATCTGTCCTCATGAGTATAGGCAGTGAATCAAGCTCCTACTCTATACATTTGCAATGTTTTTGCAAAGATCAAGGAGGAAATCAGACACATTTGACTTCCAACTCCCATTATTTTTAAGGAGCTGTGCATCTAATTTGAAATGCACAATGCAAATATTTACCCTCAAGTGTCAGAGGAGACTATAAAGATCTTTATGGATCTTCACACTTCAAGGGCTTAATTCATTAAAAATAATTATACATATGTGGAGATTTCTTCCTCAGTGGAGCTGAGATATGCAATCAGTTGCCAAGTAAGAAAGCACAGCGTGCAAGCTCCATGGCTGTGTGGCAGCTTTTATGTGAGAGAGGAGGGTTCTTTTACATAGGAACATACATGTGTAAACAGTACTAAGAACCAGATCTCACTGGAATTCACCACTGACTAAATCAGAGAAAGTCACTGAATTGTACTGAGGAATCCTAATGCTATAGTCACACTCCTGCTCTCAGGCGCCCATATACCCTCTTCACTTCAGATTCAATACTCCACATATTTCTTCATCTAAGAATAAGAGGAATTTTAGGAAGACAAATATTATATATGGAGTTTGATTTTTTTCCAAGTGTGTTTAAATAAACATTTTCCCTTCCCCAAGGTGCCCTAATATTCTTTTCCAGAAGTGCCAGTGCTGCGAGATTGCAGCTTTTAACCTCAAATTTTGTTTTTCACTCTAAGAATAGACTTACCTTTAGAATATAGGGCTTTCCTTTTCTCTGTCAGTGTCTGTGTGATCAAAGGGATGAAGTTTCAGTTCAGAACAGCTGATCTCTGAATGTACCTGGAAAGGATCTGCTGTTGAAGTCAGTGGCCAACAGGAGGCAGTTAATTATATTCTCAAAATGCTAGTCATCTATTCTTACTTGTAAATTCTCTGGGCCAAGGACTCTGTCTTCTTAGCTGGTGGAAAAGCCCCTTGCACATAGAATCTTAGGATCATAGAATCATAGAAGGTTAGGGTTGGAAGGGACCTCAGGAGGTCATCTAGTCCAACCCCCTGCTCAAAGCAGGACCAATCCCCAACATTATGAGTGCCGCCACAATTCACATAATCATGTTTCCATTTGGGGAAATTAGCTGTCTTGTTATTGATCTAGAGACTTCTATGGCTCCCTCAAACATAATAGTACCTGAGCATCCATGTTAAAAATATAGTAGTAAAACATTCTCTCTCTCTCTCTCTCTCTCTCTTCCTCTGTGTTTGTGAATGGGTTTGATGTGTATCTGGTATGAAAACTTTATTGAGGAAAAGCTATGAGGAAGAGATGAGTTTTGGTCATTTATCTCACTTCTTGCAGGGATGAGTTCAACAGTGTAACGCCAGCTTCTCTGAAGTTCTGTCTCTCTGCACTCATGAGCCTCTTCTACCAGTCAACAGTTTCATGGTTCCAGTGGAATCCAGATGTTATGGAAGTTCATGGTCATGCAAGGAAAGACATTGTCAGGTACATAGGACCAGTCTCATGGAGGTCTTTGAATATTTTGACATAGTCCTTTATTGGACTCTGTATTAAATGGGGAGCCAGTGTAGAGAGTTGAACATATGGGTGATATGATCATGCCAAATTGTCTTGACCAGATGTGCTGCTGCATTTTGTATCAGTTGGTGGATAACTAACCAGTTCTGGGACTATGACCACTTACTCAATTTTTCAGATTTTATGTGTCTTTGTGGCACAAGTTTGCACAAAATAAAATCTTAAAGGATTTCATTGCACAGTGTTACACACCTCAGCTCCTGTTGCTGGTAATGCAAATTTTATGGTATTTTAAAACCTATTATGATATTACTGGGAATCTGCTGCAACATCAGACATTTGTCATTGACATCAGTAAGGTGGTAAACTAATGATGTAATGTGCTCCAGATGTACATCTGGTTTAATGTTGCCGATTATATTTGACACATAGGTGGAATGCATCATGTTATCTTGCATTTGTGCAAATGATACTTATTCCACAGGGAAGAAGACCACCTAGGCAGAATAAATAACACCTTCTCAGTGAAAGCATATCATTAGCTGAAATTCAAGAAATGACAAATGTTTTAGGAAGGGGCAAGTTGCTCTACAAGATTTTGAGGTGGAAATATTTTGGAGATAGAAATGACAGTTTTCATAGATTCATAAATATTTAGTGCTGTTTGTTATGATAGGGCAGATCACTGGAGACAGACTTGGATTTCTAGTTAATCCCAGAGCAATCTGCTCCTTCCTTGGTCCTACCTTTCTACTTCTTCCTCTGTTGCTCTCTGCCACATCTCCCAATCTTATATTCCACCATGGTTGGAGAGTCAGAGGATGAACTACCTGTTTGTAAATCCTTTGTTCAAGGATTACCCCAGAATATCTGATATGCCAGAGAGGACTCAGGTAAGGTCAGATACCATTATTGTCGGGCTTTCCAAGAGCTGAACATGAAGACATTACTGCAATATAGAAGACTGAAGTTCTTTTGCTGTTTCTAGCTTAAACCTGTATTTTCAGCTATTTGTAATGAAATAGAATAAAGAGCTTCATTCCAGGATAGAATTTAGCATATGACACTTCTGCCTAGGCATGATTACTTTTTTGCACAATTTGAAAATCTCCATTTCCCTGTTCATGTATTATAAAACAACTTTAAAAACAGAGTAATGTTAGATAATTTTTATATGCCACTAATAAAAAAACCTGCTTGTTTTCAACTTTATATTTAAAGTAAATAATTCACAGTTTATACTAATCACTTTTGCTTGTTTGAAAAATAAAGGACAAACAACGTATATTTTCCATTTAAGCAGAAAGTATGACGCATTGTATTCTGGATTATATGCTTCTCTCAGATCTACACTACAGATCTCTTACAATGGGCCATATGTTATCTTTTCCCCCATACAAACATGCAAAAGGGGAGGACTTACCGCAAAATATACACAGCTTTGGATGGGCTGCAATTGTGCCCCTTCACAGCTGGGAGAGGTTTGACATACGTCCACAAGGTTCACACTTGTAGACAAACACCCAAAGAGTACTGAATAGGTTAATTCTACTGTTAACAAATGCCAAAACTGCAAGAAATTAAACTACTGATAGCCCACACACCAAAATAAACCCAGCCCTAACCTCCCTCCTTCCCCCCCCACAACTCCCCTCCCCTGCATTTATGCTGACAAATTACAAAGTTTCATATACCAGAAGCAGAACAACTTAATGCTTAAGAGTGCAACTTCTGAGGCAACACTGGCTTTAATTTATTTCCAAGTGCCCTTTTATTCTAACAACACTATGAATTAAGGCCACACCATCAGCCTGCATGTTTTTCTTTAGCTCTGAATTTCCACTTTGCTGGCTCTTAGTCAACTCTTTTACTTTATTTAAATGTAGTGCTTTTGCAGTTCAATAGTACTCCATGGCTTTCTCAGGCAAATGCTGTGTATTGCTTGATAAGAATGTTGACTGGTTAGAAGTTGTCACTGTTCATTCCAAAAAACTGTTCCTGAGAAAATGTCACAATAGAAACATATTGCACCTTGGCTACCTGGTGCACCGTCGATTTCCTATCTAATATAATACCATGATTGTATAGTATGTGGTTTTGTGCTTTATTGCTCCCTAGGATATTAACTTTGATGTTTTAAGCATTTAATTCTATGGCTGTGAGTTTTAATCCTTCCACAGAGCTCTCTCCTATTTATCAGTTTGTCAGAATTCACTCCCCAGTGTGTGTGTGTGCCTAGCTAACTTTATTTAAGGGGAAAAAAACAGGATTACTTCTTCACAAGTTGAAACAAAAGTTCCAATCTCTTAGATATATAAAGCATATTTCTAGCAGATTTAGTACCATCTAGGAAAGTGCTCCTTAAAACACATTTGTACTAGGGCTGTCAAGCGATTAAAACAATTAATCGTGATTAATCGCACTGTTAAACAATAATAGAATACAATTTAAGTATTTTTGGATGTTTTCTACATTTTCAAATATATTGATTTCAATTACAAAACAGAATACAACGTGTACAACGCTCACTTTACATTTATTTTTGATTAGAAGTATTTGCACTTTAAAAAAACAAAAGAAATAATATTTTTCAATTCACCTAACACAAGTACTATAGTGCAATCTCTTTATCATGAAAGCTGAATTTACAAATGTAGAATTATATACAAAGAAAAACAAACCTCCATTCAAAAATAAAGCAATGTCAAATTTTAGAGCCTGCAAGTCCACTCAGACCTACTTCTTGTTCAGCCAATCACTCAGACAAACAAGTTTGTTTACATTTACGGGAGATAATGCTGCCTGCTTCTTGCTTACAATGTCACCTGAAAGTGAGAACAGGCATTCTCATGGCTCTGTTGTAGCCGGCGTCGCAAGATATTTACGTGCCAGATGCACTAAAGGTTCATATGTCCCTTCATACTTCAACTACCATTCTAAGGGACACGTGTCCATGCTGATGACGGGTTCTGCTCGATAACAATCCAAAACAGTGTGGACCAACACATGTTCATTTTCATTATCTGAGTCAGATGCCACTAGCAGAATGCTGATTTTCTTTTTTGGTAGTTCTGGTTCTGTAGTTTCCACATCAGAGTGTTGCTCTTTTAAGACTTCTGAAAGCATGCGCCACTCCTCATCCCTCAGATTTTGGATGGCACTTCATATTCTTAAACAAAGATAATAAATGTAATAAATTATATCAAATTGCATGAGATAACTATGTTCTCCTACCCTCCCACCTGACATTCAGGAGGGCAGCCTGTAGTACCTGTAGTGGATATTTGGTAAACATTTATTTAAAGCTGCAAGTAGAAAGTTTGTTTTTATTCATCTCTAATTTCTCATTCAAAAACTGTAAAACATTTACTAATCCTCCTCCAAAACATATGTCATAAGTCTGCCAAGTGGTAGGTTAATTTGATATCTCAACAGTAACCGACTTGAGTCAGAAAGCCTACCCAGTAGGTCAACAGGCTACACTTCTAGCTCTGAGCAACTTAAATAAAGGGAAGGAAGGAGAGTGGGGTAAAAGTATCCCAATGGGAAAAAAATTCAGCCAGAACTCCTTGGGGAGGGGGATGTTTGGGGAGTGCATGGTGGAGTGGGGGCTCTGATGCTGTTTGAAAGGGTGGGTATTCCATTTCCCTCCCTTCTGCTTTGTGCTAGCTCAGAACTGCTGACTAGTGCACATTAGAGGGACCTACTCTCCCCACCTGCTTTGTGAAATCTAGTGTCACAATTGTGGCTGACCTTGGGGTAAAAGGTGAATGTGTGTGGGGGGGTCTCCTCAAGCCTTACCCTATGTAGATATTTATACAGGACTCATCAGTGGAGTATCTGACCAACTGAAACAAAATTAAATAAAGTCAGCAAAATCTACCACATTGTCTTAGGACTCATTGTCTCTCCCCCCACCCCAAAGTAAGGAGTCCTTCTCCAATGTCTTTCCAACAGCATCATCGATTGTTTGGTAGGTTTTTGTTTGCTTCCCCCTGTTGCCCTTTGATTGGGTGAGCCTGATTGAGCTATGAGAATGACACCTGAAACTGAGCAAGATCACTTAACCTTCCACTCCTTCCCCAATGTACTCTGGTAATCATTTCAATGGTTTTTAAGAGACCCCACTCTTCATTGGACTCAATCACAAGTAAACAAAGCAGAGATAGTTCAGAGAAGATGCAGTGCCATGAGACCTTGGACATATAGAGATATTTCTGAGTCCATAGCTCCTAGCTATCAGTCTGGATAGTAAAGAATTAAACTCAAGCATCCTATTCTAGAGAAACAAGGGTGCTCTTGAATTTTCTGGACCTGTTTAAAGCACAAGTGATATAATTATGCTGTATGTATTGAAAAAGGATTTGATGAACTGTTTCCTAAGTTCATGATACCTGCAAAATCAGGCAGAAAACTTCAGAGACATTTGCTTTTATGGTGATAGCAGTGTGGTTTTATAGTGCAAATTTGGTATCTGTGAAAGTGAGCTACAGAAAAACAAGTGTGTACAGACAAGCACTGTGCAAATTTCTCTGCACAGCTCTGCCACTACACAAGTTCTCACAAGTTACAGTTCTTTTGGTTTCTTGAAAAATAGATTGTTTATACTTGCCAAATTATGGTAGTTTTGTAATTTGCACAAACGAGGATTAGGATGAGACCATCATATTCATTTTCACATAAGACTTAAATTGACCTGAGAATTTGATTTCCAGTCTCCATAAATGAGACTAACCCACTACTCCAGCTAGGCTCTTGGGTCTTTTGCTATCTAGAAATTATGCCCCCACTTAAGTATAAATATTTATAAAACCTTTGATCTTTAAAATGTGAGAATTGTCTTTTTGTTTATAATTATAAAAATATCACAAACCCACTAATTGAATGAATCTTTCAAATGTGAGTAATTTTTTATTTGAATTCTACATCCTTAGGTATTATGTAACAATTAGTAATGATGCGATGGATAATTTTTTTGGAACAGTTCCTGATTCCATTACTCAACTACTCCATCGACCAGTAATTATGAATCATATCTTTAATTAGCTGCTGCTCTTCAGAAACATATGAAAGCCAAGGGCATAAAGTAATTGGCATAAAAGTTTTCCTAATTAATTTATCTGTCCATGTGAGTAACCACGACTGGAGTCAGGGGAACATTTATAACTCCAGGAAGGCCAGCCCTAAAACCCAATGTCAAAGGAGATTTATATTTGTGAATTATAAAAAGAACAACAAGCCACAAAATTACATTATCCCCAACTCCAACAATACAGTCCATAATGTGTGGTTCAGAGATGAGCAAAAAGTTTTTATTGATCCAATTCATTTTCATCATATTCTCCAGTGAGTATTTCAAATCTCTCCGGCCGTTTCCCTCATTCTACAATGTAACAGTAATCAAGCACATTAAGCAATTCATTAAACAACAGTCCCACTGACCACAGGGAGTATTGCAGCTAACATTCATTAGGCAGCTAGCAACTTTATTTAAGCAGTACAGAGCTCTGAAGAGCAAAACTAAATCCTTTGTCTTTCAGTGCAAGCCTACGGCCCACCAACGCTGTGCTGTATCTGGCTTTCAAAAACTATAAAGCCTCAAATCTTGCTGGCACAGACAATGCCTTTTTATAAGCTGCAGCCACTGAAAGAAGCCAAACTGGAACTGAGGTAATGTGTCCTGTTTTAATTCTGAACTGACCAGAAATCAACTTAAAATCTGATCTCAGTGCTGAGCATGGATAATTAAGATTTATGTTGGATATAAAAAATAAACCTTAAAATATTCATGTTTAGATCCTAGAGTTTCAGATTTGGCTTCAAGAGGGCAAAAGTGATAGACCAACCGGATATGTTCAGATGCATCTGAAAATCCTGGCTTGCATGGCATTCTTAATAAAAATGATAAATATTGTCCTTCATAACAAGAGAAGAGATGCTGAAATAACAGAAAGAAAGGCTTCCCACAAACTGATTGTAAGAGTCCAGACAAGGTTATACTTTCATCTGGGCAATGGACTTGTGTGCTTCTTAAAACCTAATTTAGAAAGGTGCTAAGTTTGTGTCTGTTATATGTTTATTGTAATGTCCTTGGACAATGAGGGAATCCTTACAGCACAAGAATATTGGAGGTTTTTTGGGTTTTTTTAAACTTTATGTTTTTTAACAGAATATAGGAAAGCTATAATTAATGGGGACAAACTCAAACAACATTAGTAAAAATTAATGTAAGTGTAAAATACTTCCATAAACAGCTGAGCTCTTTTCCAAATAAGTTGAAACATAGAATTGCCATACTATTATCAGGCCAGAGGTGAAGTAAAGGTACTTCCTTAGATACTATATCAGGCCAGAGGTGAAGTAAGGTACTTCCTTAGATATCATAGATTTGTCTCCAGGGTTTCATAGAAGGAACATAGGAACACACCTAAAATTCCAAGCCTTCCTTTCCCCACATTATTATTTTATATTGTTCTTAATACTACCATAGAAAAGGCAAAATGATTCCTATTCTCGGCTGGTATAATCAGCATAGCTTCGTTGACTGCAGTGGAGTTCTACCAAATAAGGATTGGGCTCACTGAATCCCATCCTTCAGTTTAATTTTTGATAGCCTTTACCATGGTATTCATGATACTCCCTATACCAGCTCTTGGGAAAGCTGTGACTGTTGCAGTAAAGTTATGTAAATGAAGAGTTTTTAATGGCAACCACTGGTATCTGAGTCAGCCCTGCTGGAATTCAGAACTGTGGTTCTAGGGAGTCTAAATATATGAAACCTAATGATTAAGCCGCTAAGCCAACTTCTCCAGAGTAATTTTTCCTTTTAAGACACAAAGCTTTCTTTCTAAATCTTGTCTCACTGGCAAGATCTCAGCATAATTCTTTCTAGCCCGTATCTATTGATTGAGCCACTGACATGGTGCCATCAGTAAATACAAAAAAGTCCCCATTTTACTCTGCATTCTGCAGCAGAGATAATAAAAACAGATCATGTGCCAAGCTTGATAGATTGGTGCATTGAGCTGCTTTATGGGAGACCTGGGTTCAAGGCTAAACTCTGACTCACACACTAGGCAGAGACTGAGAGTATAACGGAGGTGAAACTTTCAGCCTCTGATAAAAGGATGATCTATGAGACGTTGCTCATGAGAACTCCTCAGTGGCATTTTTAGAGTGAAGGTGACTAAACTCTCTTGACCACAAAGCTTCCAATGGTGATTTAATATGGCAAAGAGAAGGAATAGAAACAGCAATAATACAGGCCAAAAGTGAAATTAGAGGGTAAAAGCCCCAGGATCCACATTTGGACCATGCCTGAATCTTAGAGTCCCATGTTAAGAAGGTGAGACATGCCTTAAAATATACCCAGTATCCCCACCAACAATCAGAAAGTATATTGTTGAAGAAAAATATTCCAAATATTCCACAGAGCTCTTCTGCAGGTCTGGGAAAGGTACTCATTGTCACAGCTAAATAGACAGGGGACAGATTATTTAGCATAAATAGTTAACACATATGGCAAGGGACCATTCACGGCGATGTGTCCAGTTAACATCTCTGTGGTCATAGGACAGAAAAGGGGGATTAATGGGTAACAGATTGTTGCAGTAAGCCATAAATCCAGTGTCTCTATTCAGTTCATGATTTTTAGTGTCTAGCAAAGTTATGAATGTAAGCACCCAGGCTTGTCTTTTGTAGGTTTTATGAAGGTTTCCTTTGAGGAGGAGGAGGATTGAGAGGTCAGAAAAGGAGTGATTACTTTGTTGGTGATATGTTGTTTTGTCTAATTACCTTGTGAGCCTTGCCATTTAATAATACAGTTTACATTCAAGTCTCCTGTTTCCATTTTTAGAGCTATGCTTGCCTTCTGTGACTCTGTAATAGTCTAGTTATCTAGCTTTCATGCTGAGTCAAATGATTTTAATTTCTTCACTTTTGACTTCTTATAGACAAAGCTGGAATGGGGAAGTTCTGTCACAGAAGGGTTCCCCTTGCAAGTCTGAAGGGGCTTGTATACCTGCTGCAGCCTCAAAATTTTCTTCAGGGAGGTGACTGAAAATAGAAAGGGAGATTTGAAGAGGATACAGTATCAGCTTTAGGTGTGGAAGATGACATAATAAACCCATCGCACTACACACAAAAACATCTCTTATAAAGATACAAAGGAGACAAAGTTTATACTACTCTCCCATCCCAGAAAAGGAGTAGTGGCCCCTTCCAGTCAAAATGGGACTATGTTAGCAGAGCTACAGAAGACACTATGTAGCTTGATGGCGAAGAACCAAAGACAGTTAATAAATACAGATCTTCAGATTCTACTGTTCTCCAATCTCCACCATTCACAAGCATGTCATTCATAAAAAAAAAAAAACACTAGAAAATAAGATATTTATCTCACTCAGACTTCTTGGCAGCTCTTGGATGAAAATCTGTTTCCCTGCATGCTTAACTCTTAAGGGTTAATGTGAACTCTGGTTCTTCATTCGCAGCTAGGCAGTTCAAAGTTTGTACAATAGCTTAAGTTCTGTGTACTGTGTTCCTTTATTGTACGAGGTTTGTGATTACAGCTCCATCAAACTACCCATGGAAAACAACCGTAATGACTGATTTTATTAGCAATAAAAAACATTAGAAAAATATCTAGTGTAGAAAACATATGCAGTTGAATGATTATATTTCCTAAAGTACCGTGCATGTGATACAGCCATATAAATTCAGTACTTACTAGTGTATACAGTTCATTATATATGATGGAGGGCAGTGAAATACCAGTTTTATTCTCATTGAAAAAAGACGGGCTATAAATAATGAGAGGTGAAGCCTCAAGAGACTAGGCACATCCTATTTAAAACTACATTAAAAACAAATACATTGTTTTAATATTAAGGTTGCAAAGTCAAGCACACAAAAGTTAGTATGTGACCATTTTGGCATTTCCTATTTCTCAAATCGTACAACAGAACACATTTCTTCTTACTCTTAGACATGTGTATAGCACGCTATAGTATTTCTTTCTATAAACCAGAGGATTAGTATTGTTACCCTTGGTTGTTTTTAAACTTTATTTTCTATATTATGTAGAGTAGGATTACTCTAGAGAATCTCAGATGTCACTTTAAAAAAAAGAGGATGTTTCTAGCCCTTGTGATTATGATTAAAAAGAACTTGAAATCATCAACCCTAATGGTAAAAAAAAATGGAAATCAAATAAAAAGGACTCCAACTTCCTCCCCCCCCCCAATCTGGTTTCTGAAGCCTGACTAATGGTTTTTGAATTTTGGGGATTGGTAATGCTCAGATGAACAGCAAAAGCAGAATGCCTCTTGATAATAAAAGATCATATATCCATGCAAACCACCTCAGACTGCAAAAAGAGAAATAAAGAAATAGTGTATTTTAAACAATAAAAATATAGAACTGCATAAGTGAGGCCTTAACTCAATGCCATCAAATTACCACCACTTTGGAAGGGTTCAAAAGAGACAATTTAGATCAAGTCTATTGGATTTTGTGAACTCCATGCTCAAGAATATTTTGGTGAGCAGAAAACGCCTGCTGTGGGGGAAGGAAGGGGAGGGACAGGCTCCCTGGACCCCTCCCCCACCAGGTCCACTGTCCATTGTTCTTCTCCCACAGTTGGCAGCCTTTGGGGAATCTCTCTGGAGGCTACCACCCATAGGGTGGCTCCTGTTCTTCCCTTCCTTTTCCAAGAGGGGAAGATCTGGCTGACTTAAGGACAAGCCCCTCAGGCAGATCCTAGAGAGTCAGTTTTAAGGGCTCGGTCTCTCAGAGTCTATTGCCCCTTTGTGGGATTTACCTTCAACCCCTCTTCCTGGGGCTATTGCTCTACCGTCAGTCAGGGTGGCTTTAGGAGAGATGCATCTCACAGCTGTCTCCTCCTTGACCAGACTTCCTCTGTTCCCAGCAGTCCCTGGTCAGAGCAACTTTCCTCCTGTTTACCACCCCTTTCTGTGGTAAGTTTCCCTCTTTTAAGCTCCTCCCCCTCCAGGCTGAGCAAGCCTTGCAGGTGTGTCTCATTAGTGTGGAACAGGCCCAGAGGAGCTCCTTAGCCTCCTTCATAGGAGCGTGAAAGCACGTCCCTTCACACCTCCCAAAAGTTAAATTCTCACGGCAATCTGCAGGCATTGTCTGTAGTGTAGCAGGCCTCAGACCACGAGATAGCCTTGACCTCACCTAAACCTATTGGAAACAAACCAGTCTGTTGGACCAGCTACATCAATGCATTTCAGGGATTGCTGTATCAGAAAATGGGGGAAGTGTAAATGTCCCTTTCATTGCTGGAGGGAAAAAAGGTAGAAAACATCTCATTTAAACATGGCAGGTTAGATTATAGAATGCAATCAGTAATAGAACCAATACACAGAAGAGATGACATGATTTCTTTCTTGGGGGAGTTGAAACTAGATCATTAAGAGTTTGACGCATGTGTAATTAAAGCTGGGAAGAGCATGAATTGCACAACAGATATTTTAGAAAAATCAAATGAGAGTGAAAAAATATGAATGTTGGGAATTCTGAAAGGAAGGGAGGAACTGACTCTATTGCATTCATAGGCAATTTTTTGCCCAAATTGTTCAATATAAGAGGGAAAGACACTTATGCCACATGAAGAAAAGTTATCACATACCAGCTTGACAGTCTATAGATGCAACAGGCAAAGGAGGAAACAATGGAATGGTCAGCATTGCAGAGCAAGATCACACACTCAAAGAAGCATGACAGAGGAGAGATTTGGAATATAAACCACATCAAATCCTTATATTTCCATACAAAAGTCTGTCACCGCAGAGCAGACCAAAGGAGAAGACCTTGGTGATGAAGCCCTATACAACAGAGGGAGTGGATGCACCTAACAAAACAGAGAATTAAAAATTAGGGGAAAATATTTCATACAAAATAAAAAAAATACATTGTCAGGGAGTTAAGGTGGCACAGCAAAGCACTTTTGTCAAGGTTTCTTCCCCACTCTGAATGCTAGGGTACAGATGTGGGGACCTGCATGAAAACCTCCTAAGCTTACTTTTACCAGCTTAGGTTAAAACTTCCCCAAGGTACAAACTATTTTACCCTTTGCCCTTGGACTTTTGCTGCCACCACCAAATGTCTAACACCGGTATTATTATTATTAGGAAAGAGTTCGTTTGGAAACGTCTTTCCCCCCAAAATCCTCCCAAATCTTACCTCCTTTTTTCTGGGGAAGGTTTGATAAAAATCCTTACCAATTTGCATAGGTGACCACAGACTCAAACCCTTGGATCTTACGAACAATGAAAAAAACATTCAGTTTTTTAAAAGAAGAATTTTAATAGAAAAAAAAGTAAAAAAGAATCACCTCTGTAAAATCAGGATGGTAAATACCTTACAGGGTAATTAGATTCAAAACAGAGAATTCCTCTAGGCAAAACCTTAAGTTACAAAAAGACACAAAAACAGGAATATCCATTCCATTCAGAACAGCTTATTTTCTTAGCCATTTAAACAAACAGAATCTAACGCATATCTAGCTAGATTACTTACTAAGTTCTAAGACTCCATTCCTGTTCTGTCCCCGGCAAAAGCATCACACAGACAGACCCAGACCCTTTGTTTCTCCCTCCTCCAGCTTTGAAAGTATCTTGTCTCCTCATTGGTCATTGTGGTCAGGTGCCAGCGAGGTTATCCTAGCTTCTTAACCCTTTACAGGTGAAAGGGTTTTTCCTCTGGCCAGGAGGGATTTTAAAGGTGTTTACCCTTCCCTTTATATTTATGACAACTTTGAAACCAGGAAACGGCAATGTTGATTGCACAGCATTAGCTACATCCTTTTTTGCATCATCCTTATGATTTGGTGTTTTGTTACACATACTTTTTGTCAAATAATGCAAGGTTTATAAAAATTAAACCTTAGATATACATCACTGGCATTTTGTAGTGATGTACTACTGTGCACATGGGAGACATAGTCAAGTGCTATTTTTCAAATCATAAATATTGTATACAATTTTTCTACAACCTTATGTACACACACATATCCTGATGCGCTCTCTCACTCTCTCTCCACCATGATTAATATAGTTGCAGCATTGGGTTCCACTTCTAATTTCTATGTTACTTATAGAACTGAAAGAGTGGGATGTAAACTAGAACTGGACTGATCTATAAGCACTTTATAAAGGTAGGTGCCAGGGAGGAGTTCCATTTTACAGATGGGGTCACTGAGGAACAAATACTTCAGTTATTAGTCAATATTCATATGCACATCTTGTAACATGCAGCTTGCCTCAGTCACACTTTCGAATATATATATATAGATTGGTTCCTATATATATATATATATATATATAGGAACCAATCTACTGCCCCAGGTCAAAGAAACTCTCAAACCAGCTGAACAGGCATAGAAGCAGTTTCAGGAGGTATGGCAGCTTTGGGACCAGCTGGGACCACCTCCTCTTCCAGACCCAGAACAGTGTATGGGTGATCCTTCGCACTGCCCTGGGGATACTATGCACTCTCCCCTTGACCCACGTGGGCTGGGGCAAGAGAAGTATTTCAAAAAGGAGCCAGCCCCTAGGCCACACAAATTCTTCAGCTGGCAGGAGCAAACACAGAAGCAGCCTCCGCAGGTGCAGCAAGGACCAGTGGATGATGATGATGTCATGGAACTACTTTCCACAGACTTCATCCTAGACATTCTCTCCCTTATGCTGATTGGCTATGTGCTCCAAACCCTTTCCTCACAGTTTCTTCACCTCAGTCTCATTCCTTTTGCTCTTGATACCCTCCTCCTTCTCCCCAACCCCTCAACTCCCCTCAGGTTCTCTCTCTCTCCCTTCCCTTAGCTTTCCGCTTCACAAATCCTCTCCTCATAATTAAAACCAAAAGAAATAAAAAATCATGGCATTAACTTGCAGACCACCATTCTGTTCACTTGGCTTGTATGTTCTATCCCTCTCCTGTACCCTTTGTCTGTTTCGTCTATTTAGACAGCAAGCGTTTGGTGCAAGAACTGTCTCCAATTCTGTGTTTGTACAGTACCTAACAACACAGGGATCAGTTCTCAGTTAACTCCTGGCCACTACTATAATAAACATAGTAAATTTACTGTATAGCTAAATTTGCTATCCACACATGCTCTGCACAGCCTACTTTCCTTCTGAGTGTTGCTCAAAAGTGCTAAAATCATACAAAATAAGTGTCAGGTCTGTTGATTTTCACAAGACAGGGTTTATTAGGTGTATTGCTACCAAATGTTGCTATGGATTTGCTCTGTCTGAATTAATATGACTATGCACTTATGGAGTGCTTTTTCGTCCTTGGATTTAAAAGTGCCTCACAAAAGTGGATACACAGGAATAGAGCCATTTTACGGACATTACAGCCAAGCACCTAGACCTGATTCTTTCCTAACAGGCACTGTGGTTTAGTGGATGAGACTTGGATTCTGTTCCCCCTCTGACACAAACTTCCTAGCTAACCTTGAGACACCGCTCTGGTTCTCAGTTACCCCATCTGCAAAATGGGGGAATATGATATTTGCTTCAAAATGGGGGAATATGATATTTGCTTCATGTGGATCTGAGGCCTTGTCAAATATGGGTGAGAAGCATATGGGTGAGAGCTTTTTTAAGTGGCAGAAGGCTGAATTAGAATTCATGGTCTTGTGGATCAGAGCCCAATTCTCCTTCTTCTATGCTGTAGGGTTTTTCATCAGCTCTTGTATCAATCTGTGCTATGAAGACTTCCCTCGTTAGAAGCAGGTGTCCTTTCGAGCCCTGCCCTATTTCACATAGCACAGAGAAATGCACCAAACATCTGAGCAAGTTTGTAAACCCTAAACTGTGAAAGCATGCACAAAATGCTTGTGCAAAGTATATTTTTAAAACTTCTATACATTTCACACATCACAACTTATCCTCACTAAAAGGCACATCTGTGAGCTAGGGACACTCATTTTGCCAATTTAAAGTCTCTATCATTTCCCATTGAAGTGCTAGGGCTTTTTAAAAAAGGCCCTTTTTAATTATGGAAACAGTATATTTCTATTCTCTTACTTCTTGAAAATGGCCCAACTGATTATTCCCAATCTTTCAAAGAAAGTTTTCCTCTGCAATAAGACCATACCTGCCAAATATCAGTCCAAAACCAAAAAGATTAACATAGTTATAAGCAGCTGGAAACAAATCTTTTGTACAAAATTAACTCTAGGCATCTCTGCATTCCTTTTTATCTAGTGAGACACTGTTTGTCCTTCACCTGTTGAAAACAATTCAAGTTAATAGGGAATTATAGTAAGTGACTCTGATTTATTTGACTAAGACAGAATAATAGTTCATCAGTACTGATTAGTAGTCGAAGGCATGTTATTAACATAAAATATAAGGCTCATGCATAATGTGATGTTCTGTTTTCTTTCTCTAAAATCAATAAAAGCTAAAAACAATGATAATAGTGATATGATTAAAATGTTAGTTCTTAAAGTTAAAACAAGTTATATCTTGTTTTTTCTTCACCACAGAGAAAGGCCAACCTTTCTAACCTAAAATTGAGATGATTATATATATATATATATATATATATATATATATATGTCATTCTGAAGGCATTTGGAGATGATACTTAATTTTATTGAGGTAATAATAATGTATATTATACTGCTACTTTTGACCTGCCCTTTTAAGGAAAATACTGAAGCAAGTACAACTACTTGGTATATCCCTTTAAATCACTCAATGTTATATGTAATCTTTGCACAGTTTTTTTAAGCTGAGTTATCAAATGCGCACATAAATCAAGCAATTTATTTCCATAAAAATAAAGATACAGAACTCTTTCTAATTAGAAGGCGCTTCATGATTTTTCACAAGAGTCTTTAATTAAAGGTCTCTCAAGATCATAGAAAGTTTGTTTCCAGTAGATCTTTTGTTTTATAAGAGAGTTTGCTTGCCATGTATTTTTTCAATACTTTACAAATTGAATATCTGAATCATTGTATACACTGTAAGTGAGATTGTCACTGTCCCCTGCATCGGTGTGCAATTCAGGGGGCAACATATAGAGCTCTCCTTACATCTGCATATGGTACAACGGGAGTTCCTGGGCTCCTGTGAATAGAAGCACTGCTCTGAACTAGCATTGCTGCCAGTGCTAGGGGTACAGGACAGGCCCTCTGAAGAGGCCAGCAGAGCCAGCATTGTCAGGGGTGCACCATTTAAGGAAGGTAGAGCAGATACACTTTCCTGGGACTTCTGGAAGCATAATATTTCCTCTAGGAACCCCACAGGAGTAATGTGACTGTGCACCACCCCCAACTACAGATTCTGTAGGAATATCTCAGTTGAGCCCTTAGAGCCAAATCCCACCTTTCTTACTTAGATGAGCCTTGCTATTAAAGTAAATGGAAACGCTTGTAAGACTAAGGCAAGCAGGAGTTGACTCTAAACATCTTTGTGTATAAATGGACAGAAAGCAAGACATATGCCCAAACCACTGCTACGATTCAATAAAGCTTTCCTCTCCAAAAGCTCTACTTTTGTTCTGAATGGTTGTACACATCATTATTTGGCACACACGTTAGATCTTTCAATTATTTGTGTGTGTTTTCCACAGCTACTTTTGTTCCATCTCCTTAATCGTCCCTCTGACCCCAACCCCTCCCACCCGTAACAAACTCCCCCCGCTAGCTCTGGCATTACAGCACCACTGCCTGAAACTATATAAAATCCTTGGCCT